TGGCTTTGTCCATAAAATGTCATCTGCACCGTCTGTTCCTCCCTGATCAGAGAGGTGACGAGGTGAGAAATCGGTATGTCGCTCTTAGTGAATGGCTTTAAAGCGGTATGCTCTATGTAGTGAAGGCCCAGGAAACTTGCCGCTTCAACGGAGAAAAGAGAGCGATGTTGAGTGGGTTTTAGGAGCATGTGAAGGGAGGTTCCTAAATACATATATACGTTGGATATGTCGGCGCCTTAACTGGACTTTAATTGTGCAAGAGAANAACAAATTTATTTTGAAACACTAAATTCGCAGTTTTTATTATAAATATGATAACCGTTTCGGTCTCTTGTTTTGGGCTACTGAAAAATTATTTGCTATAACTCGACTCGAAATACGATCATCAAGGATCGGCAAGGTTGTCAGTTTGAATAAGTAAAATAATGCTTTCAGTTTCAGAATGCGATTTTACATAAAAATTCATTCGAGCTTAGTTCCAAGTTTCATCTCAAGGAGCCTTTACTATTCCAGTAATATTGGCTTTGTCCATAAAATGTCATCTGCACCGTCTGTTCCTCCCTGATCAGAGAGGTGACCAGGCGAGAAATCGGTATGTCGCCCTTAGTGAACGGCTTTAAAGCGGTATGCTCTATGTAGTGAAGGCCCAGGAAACTTGCCGCTTCAACGGAGAAAAGAGAGCGATGTTGAGTGGGTTTTAGGAGCATGTGAAGGGAGGTTCCTAAATACATATATACGTTGGATATGTCGGCGCCTTAACTGGACTTTAATTGTGCAAGAGAAACATGGGTCTCGTTAGGCAGTTGAAGCTCTTCCTTTGCAATTGGTGGTGGTTGAAATCCTATAATGGTACTCATATCTTTTTCTCCTGTAGAGAAGCTCGGTGTTACCTTAGCTCTATTTGATGTGGAGATTGTTGCTTCTGTCAGCTTTTGACCCACAACCGGTGCAAAAAGAGGGCCGTCCGCAGATCTGTTGGAACCGGGTAAGACTGAGTAGCTCCGGTAGTCTCCCAGTAATAAAAAAAAATCGGGTGAAACTCAGGATAAGGCTGATTAATTCGGAATTTAAGTGGAAATAAAAGAATTTTGAGCAGGGGTTTTTCATGAGATGGATAAGGATGGTAACTTCTACGATTATGATACATGCAGTGGTGGCCACATATTAGGCGCACTACTTACATATGTAGTAAAAGTTGTGACCATTTAAAAAAATAACTAATAAATGCCGAACACATTTAATTCAAAGTTTCAAACCTTGTAAAAGATTAAAAAAAAATTCGCCAAATTCCGAAAAAAATTATTCTAAATAACAAACTTCCTTATCAGAATATCTAGGAAAAAATTCGAACACACTTTGTATGGAAGAAAATGCATAACACCGTAAGCAAACAAAAAAAAAAAAAACCTAAAAACTGAATGGGAAATGAATGGGATAACAAAACTGAATAAAAAGTTTGAAATTTCGATGAAAATTTTTTGAAATTTGGCGAATTTTTATAAATCTTGTACTAAGTTTGAAACTTTGTAGTATAACTAAAAAATATTTGCGTAAAAAAGTTAAAAAATATGGTAACAACTTGTAAAGAAATAGTGCCCCTAAATTTGTGGCCCCCCACTGTATGTGCATATTAGAATTGGTGCATTATTAATCCCAGTGCAAGTTGTTAAACAAAAAATCAACGTCAAGTCGATACGAATTATCACTATCCTTCAGCAATAAAAGGTCCAAAGGAAAAACAAAGAAGGTATGCATATCGATTTTCTCAAAGGACACCCTAATATATACACCCTAGTGATCAAAATGCAGCATTTTTATACAGACCAGTCATGAGCGATATTTCACTACCGGTGATTTGATCACTGTGATTTAAAAATCGCTTATTGTGACTGCTACTGCTAGGCCACAATATCAGTGATTGGTGATTTTTCTATTTGCTTGATATTTCGCTATGAATGGAAAACACATCTGTCAATAGATAGTCGAACAGAAGTTGCGAATGGTGATTTTTCTCTATCATGGTAGAAATGGTGATTTTAAAATTTTTAATTATTAATTGTGAATATGCTCGTATGTATATTGCGTTTTTTCATTACCGTTCCACGGTCGTTTTAAATGGACATTTTCAAGTACGCAGTTTGATTTGCTTGATCGCGTTATTTGCGTTCCACTTTTTAACCAACTTTACAATAAATAGAAAGGATATCAATTCGTCGGAATACTTTTATATTTTATTTTTTGTATTGTTACCGCATAACTTTAAGGAAAGGTATTACCCCACAGGCGGTCCCGTATTAATTTGGTTTAAATCCGAACATCGGATCATGGAGAAATTAACGATAATCTTAAATTTTCAACGAATAAAGATGGCTGCAAATATTAATAAACAACCGAAGTGAAATATGGCAATTTTTAAAGGAATAAATGAAGCTTTTGCCTCTTTTCCCTACATGTACCAACACTGATTTCTCATTATTTATTAGAACTATTACACATTTCTGTGTTATTAAAAGAACCAGCGATCGCAATAGCCATAAAAAATCACTGTGATTTAAAAATCGCAATCCCTCTTCACTGATAATGAAAAATCGCTATTTACCAACTTTGAAGGATTTGGTTTCAGTTATATACAATATGTATGTATAATCAAAAACTAAAGGAAACTAATTATTTCAATAAGCCGACTAAGTACGTATCACAAAATATTAACTATACAAAATAAAATACTCGGGCCCATTCCCGTTGGCGTTTTCGTTTCTAAGTCGCTGTCGATGGTAAATCCGGAAATTTGTAAATTGAAACGGCGTAGAGAATAGAGTCCGACCTGAATATAAATTAATTCAAGAACAAATGCTTAAAAAAAAAAATTTAATAATAATAAAAGAAAAACATAAACAAATAACTAAATAACATTACAAAAACAAAATATGTTTTAAAAAATAGTATACCGCTTATACATATCATTGCAATATTTTGTTCCATAGTCTTTTTCTTATTCAATGTAAAATAAATATTTAGTTCATTCGAAATAACATTTCTTAGTTGTAATCACACATAGTAGTAAAAATATGCAGTTTCTGCTGACTATAAATGTGTTTTCAATACAATTTGTTAATAAACAGTAACAGTAAAATAGTAATGAAAGTATTGTTGTAACGTAAATAATTTAACAATCCAGTGATAAGAACCCGAAAGTTTTAGGAATTCAGCGATTAATTCAAGGATAATCGTAACAATACATACAGTCACGAAACTATAAATACGGAGGAGACATTTTAGCATTCTTTGGCTATTTCCTCTTCGTTTATTTAATGTTTATTACTTTTTTTATGAAAGAGTAGCTCGTTATCTAACAAAAACCACGTAGATGCATTCTGAGTATGCAGCTTTGTAGTTCATTCAATTTTATTATATGAAGTGCAAATTTTAAATAGCTAGGACTTACCGTTGATTGTTGGCAACTTTTTTGTGGAAGGTGTTGCTGATTTTCTCCATAAAAAAAAATGTCGAACATATTTTGTATGGAAAAAAACGCGTGGACAAAAAATTGCAAAAATCAACGATAAGTCCTTTATTATACTGAAATTAAAAAAACTGCATACTCAAAAAGTTCTATAAAATCTGATTAAACAGTTTAAACTTTGATGAACATTTGTTAAAATTGTCGAATTTTTATAAATTTTCTGCAAAGTTTGAAATTCTGATTTACAGGGTTTTGTTTAGATAGTAATAACAATAATAACAATAATAAAAATTTTTTAAACAAAGAAAAATAGCCAGAACTTGCTAAAATGTGTCTTTTCTATTTACATTCTCGCCACCGTACATCATAAAAACGAAACACATTTATGACAGGAGGAAAAAATAAAAATTAAATAACATGGAATGAAGTGCGAAAACAGTAAAAAGCATCGACCAAACACGGCCGTTGCCGATGGCGATTCTTTTGGCCGATACTAGCCGATGCCGATGCCGATTAAGCGGTCGGACTCTAGTAGAGAAGTTCTTAACAAATAATCAGGACCGGTTTTTCGGGCTACTTTCGAGCAAATGAGCGTAAGAATGAAAACTCCCACAAAAGTGAAGAAACTGGCCAAAATCAGCCCACACGTGGTCGAGCTGAAAAACACTTAATGGCATAACGAATTTTTCTATGTCGTTAATGAACTGTTTTCGTTTCAAAATGAAGAATATCGATATATGTATTTGCGATAAATGTCGATAACGCCAACAGTGATGTCAAATTGTTTTATTTCGTTTTCAAACGACAGCGCCAACAGGAATAGGCCCGTTTACTTCAACGTTTTATGATAACTATATAGACATTACTATTAGAATGAGAGACGTTTAATAGGGTAATTAAAAAAAATACATATATAAATGCGAGCTTGTACAACCCCAATTATCTATTTGTATGCAAATACATACATATACATATATGTGTGTGCGGGAATCCGATAAAAACTACTATAAGTTCTACATAACAGCAGTAATATAAATTACCGGGATTATATATCAAGTTGGTTAAGATTATATTATAAAAAAAAAACTATTATTTTAATATCAAAAAAAAGTAGTGTAATATATGAATATAACTTTTTTAGCAACTAACATATAACATAGTATGAAAGCTAGTATAGTCAATATTATTAAGTAAAAATTATATACTACATACATAAAAACAAAATTGTACTTATTAGAAAAATAATGTATATATGTATCTATATTGCATCTAGAAGAAAGTTATTACTATATACGATTAGCAATAGCAAAACAGAAAAAATACTAACATAAATGTGTTTTAATTCAAATTTGTTTGAGTAGAAAACAGATGCGAAATGCTAGGGCGAACACCCTAGCAAAAGTATGCTGTTATCATAAGAAAAGCAATTTGCTAACGATGTCGCAATGGCAAAAAATGCTAAACGTGCATTAGAAATGTGTCATATTTCCCAAAAAATTGCATGCAAGGATTCCTATTATAACGCTGAAATTTGAAATCTAGGACTAATTTGTTTTATTATATTTTTTTTTTTACAAAATTAACATCAATTACTGCACAAACTCATTTTCGCTTCTTGTTAGTATTTCTTTGACCAGCAAACACTTTTTTCGAACGTTTTGTGTACGATTTCGAATTGGAGTGCCGTTTTTCTTCCCATTTCATTTGTTTTGCGGATGATTTGTCCTTATTGAATAGGGCATTTGAGGTACCATGTCCCTTTGTTTTACCCGTTTCTTCTAGCAGTTCTGCAAAATCATCAGCCGCGGCGAACAGTGAACTCATATCTACAAATTAAAATGCCAACATTAAATAGAGAGAGCATAAAGCAATATTTAGTTGTACTCACCATCACTATGCTTAAGTTTCTTTGCGAAACTCTTTTCATTCAATGCAACTGGTCGTTTGCGAGTCTTTTTCTTTCGAGTAGTTGACAAGCCGTCTTCATCATCATCATCATCATCATCATCTCCCTCATCTTCACTCATATCTTCCGACATGCTCTCTTCACCATCGTCGCTTAAATCGTCTGGGCCATCCTCCTCATCAAGTGACATTGAACCAGCATCATCATCTTCCTCGCCATCAATCGAACGGTCATCATCGTCAGACACGTCGTTATCTCCGGCAAGATCACCCTCTTCTATATTATCATCACCCCAATCTGCATCAATATCTTCCACATCATCTTCGTCATCATCTCTAGAGGCTTTTTTCTTTTTCTTTTTACTGTCAGATTTTAATTCTCCGCCTAGCTCTTTGAGGAAGTCAAGCTCTTCTTCTCCGTCCTCAGCATCGGCTGCTGCTTTAGCTTTTTTGCCAAAATAGCTACCAAGATATTCCTCAAATTCATCGTCTCCAACCTCGCCTTCTTTCAATTGTTCATCTTCCTCATTTTCAGCAACTTCCTTCTTCTTTATTTTATTAACGACAGTCTGATGGCGTTTTTGCTCCAGGAAATTAAAAATGTACATTTCGTCTTCAGTGCAGTTTGCTTTCGTTAGAGACTTAACCGGTTTTCCACGTGTTCCGAATGACACATAGCGTTTATGTGTGATTATGGGGGCCTCATCTTTTTGATCCAATTTTTTTGGATTCTTAAAAGCAAAACGTTCAAGAAAATGTGGTAAACCGAAATCGCGCAATGGATCGCCGTAATAATCGATCCTTTTTTCTGTAATCATGCGAATAAATTTGTAAAAAAAATTATCACATTATATCGTATATCTACTTACGTTGCAAAATATTATTCGCAAAAACTTGAACTGTAGGATGGAAATGCTCGCGGAGCAGTAACAACTCGTGTCGCAATGCAAATTCAGCGCCAGCGAACGAGGGCACTCTGTGATAAGGGTCATATTTGTTTGGTGCAATATCTCGTACTTTTGCATCGGCTACAGATGATTCCAATTTTGCATGATGCCATGAGGAAATCGTTGACGGGTTTATTTTAGATTCTTCCAAATCATTACGTTCTTCCAAATTCTCTTCATTTGCAGTTTCTTCTTCATCGCGTATATCCTCATACTTTTCTTCGCCATCGCTATCAAATTTGGACAGCTCCGCATCGTCGGATTTCACTTTAGGTGCAGTTGGTGCAACATTGGTGGAATTATCTTTAGTTTCGTACGGACTTACACCACCTGCCAGCTCTTTGCGGCTACGTAATAATTTGTTTATCACTATAAGGCAACCGGCAGCCATATTTGGCGGCATGTAAAGTGCACATTGCAGCAATCGCTTAATAAATGCTTGCGCACGCTGTACATTTCCATCTATATGTATTGCCCGATGGATGATATGAAGTAGTTGCGCAGCTGTTTTAACACCCACGTTTATGACTTCAAGGTCATGCATTTTCTTATAGAGTGCATTGTAGAAACGATCGGATTTCTCCGTTTTCACAGTCATTAGCTGCAAAAGCAAACCAAGTGTCTGCACAGAAACGCGGATATCAGCTAAATGTACCATCCGATAGATTGTGTCTTGCATATCCTTGCTAAGAATTTCACTTGAGCCTTCTGCTGGTTTTGCCTCTAAAATCGCCTTTTGTAAACAACGTAAAATGGCTTGCATTGTCCGATTGTTGACAGCACCTTTTTCTACAAGCACCTTAAACAGCGCAAAACAAATATTTACTAACTTAGTGCAAACTTCTGGCCGACCTGAAGTTGCGATACTTGCTAGGAAGCAAAGTGCAAAGTGTTGAGCCCTTTCAGAGATGTTGTTACGGAAAAGTAGCTTCTCGGATTCTGCGACAATAACACCGCACATATTTGGATGACGATGGGCAACTTCACTAAGATGANACCAACGGGCATCTGAGGCATCACCTGTAGCAAAAAATCAAATATTACACGGTTATAGGCTACATACTATATATGGAAATGGTAAATTTTATATGACTACTCACGCTTGGAAAAAGCCGTCAGTTCGGCTTCGAATGCATTTTTGCATAAATTGTATAATTCCATTTGCTCAGACTCTTTCATGTCCAGTACTTCTTCCGATGAAGGATACTCAGGGTACTAAATTATAGGCGACTTTCTAAATGTTCTTCTTCCAAATTGTATGTGTTGATTACTTACAACATTAAACCATTTTTTATTTGTATCAGCATCATCCTTTTCATCTTTCTGCTGTTGTCGCTTCTTTTCGCGTTTGGCAAAGTAGTCATTCTCATCATTCTCAGTGTCCTCCTGCTTATTGTGCTCTTCCTGCAGTCCATGAGATCCTTTCCTTTTGTCTCCTTTTAACTTTTTCTTCTTGCCCTCCTTCTTCGCTCCTTTCAAGTCCTTGACAGCGGCCTCTTCCAAAATCTGGCCATCGTCATCGAATACAATCTTTTTATTTTGGGCTTGTGTTGAGATGCTGATGCCTGATGCTGCTGGCGGCGCCATTTTAAAACAATCACAATTATTTTAATTAAAATTGCTATGCAAGAAAATAAGCAAACCCAATCACCAAAAACAGAAATAACACACGTGCGATGAAGTAAAATGTCAACTGTCAAAAGTCAAAAGTCAACAGTGCTGTGAATTGAGGGGAAAATGTTTGGGGTTTTCGCAGTAATAATCGATCATAAAATGTACTGAATACGAACTTTCTGATTTCATCTATTTTTTACATAACCAGTTATAATTTAAAATTTATTGTATTTTAATAACTGTTCATTGCAATAAAAGGCCTCCTTCAAGTACTAAGTTTCAGCATTGAAGTCCTGCTGATAAGTGAAGAGCGTTTATTTAGGTATGACTCTTGAAGGTAAAAGGTATTACAGTTGGTACATAAAAATGCAGCCCTTCAAACCGCAAAAATGTTGGTATAACAACAGAAAACGAAAAATACCAATAAATTTTTGTGTTTTTCAGGTGTATGTTGAATTAATTGTGATCCAAGTGAAATTCAGTGCAGTTTCTGTACAAAATTGTTACCTAAACTAAAAGGAGCATAAGAAAGATTCAATACATAATCCGAGCATAAAAAGCCAAGGAGGTGGAACCATTTCTGGATAAAATGAATGAGGCAGCTTTGGCAAGTATGATCTACAACGATCCCATAGGCATATACGAGCAGCCCAGGTACATGTACCTTGATTCAAAGAAATCATCATAATTTACACTAATTTTATGCTTGCAGGCCACGTTTTATTTTCAAAATGCCGCGTGTGGTGCCCGATCAAAAGGCTAAATTTGAAAGCGACGAACTATTTCGTCGCCTCAGCCGCGAAAGCGAGATACGCTATACTGGCTATCGCGAGCGTGCTTTGGAGGAACGACAAATGCGTTTCCACAACGGTTGTCGCGAGGGTCATACCGAGATCTCGTTCGTTGCATCGGGCACCAATCTGCAGCTAGTTTTCAATGCAACACAGAATCCGTACTTGCACGATAAAGAGTGCGACTTTGACAAGGAGCACGGTAAAGTGTACATAAAGTCGTACTTCATAATGAATGGTGTGTGCGTACGTTTTCGTGGTTGGCTAGACTTGGAGCGTTTAGATGGTTCGGGCTGCCTAGAATTCGATGAACGACGTGCTATGCACGAAGATCAAATATTGCGGGAGCAGATCGAAAGATACAATTTAAGGCTGCGAGAATTTGAAGACTCAAAACGTGCATATCGTGATAGTCGACCAGAAGTAGATATGGAAGCTGTACGTCGTGGTGTGCCCTCAGGTGGCATTGGTGTAGGGGCTAGTATGTGGCGGCGTTAAATAAGGCTTAATGAGTTTGGAGAGAGGAGCGAAAAGATCCATTCACTATAAAAAAACTTGTAAGAGTGTTGTGGTTAAGACTAAATATAAACCAAACTAAATACTCGAATATTCATCTAATGCTTCAATCAACAATTCAATCAATTATCAATAATTATTATGTACTAATTAAATTTTATTGATTAAAATATAAGCATAAGTTGTGGCAGTTGATATTCAAACTTTTACTATTATTAAGTTAAACCTACTTTTGTATTATTTCGTACACTTTTGCTTTACCTATATTTTTTAATTAAAGTTTCTTGTACGAGTAAAATTATCCAGGAGTAGTTTTTAGTTTATTTTATTTGAAATATAGGTTAGGCTGCTATGTGTCAGCAATACAGAATTTTATAATCGTTTAGTTTTTGTTTGTTGAGAAAGTTGCGTGTGATTTTCTTACAAACTTTGCTTCTTTTTTCGACAGTTTTCTTCTTCATATACGAGGAAATTGCTTGAGCGCCTGTCGCACTGCGACCGGCACTGGTTGTTGCTATAGTTTTTGTATTCAAACCGCCGGACCAAGGAGTTCTCTGATTTATTCCCCGCTTGGTTTCTTTTTCAGTGGATACGGAGATTTCATTATTCCAAAATTATTTTTATGACTTTCGCCACCTTGCCATCATTTAATAATATTAACTTATTGATAGTGATTACATTCGGTCCAGGCCGGTTAACCTGACACGCGTTGTTGTTGTTGTAGCAGCATACAAATTCCCCAAAGAGTTTTTGGGGAGTGTTGCTGGAGTGACAGTCCTTGGCCAAATATAAATCTGGGTCGTTCCGGTTACGTAGACCCGACTGTCGTGGGAACGCCTGACACGCTTGAAGGCGTCGTCATATAGATGGTTGAATAATTTTAAATGCTACCTGTTCACTAACGATTAAATTAATGCGTAAAAGTGTTTTATATCTTACTTTATTTAATATTTTCGTACAGGTTAAATATGTCAGTTTTAATGGAATATGTTTAACATAACATTAAAGTTTGTAATCGACAAAAACACATCTTCATAAAAATTTCTGGTATATGTATGTATAAAGTTATGAACTAAAATTAACGGTGTGCTTCAATGCACTTCTTTAGCGAAATTGCAAATTCGATATGCGCAACCCAATACTGTCCTTGCCAATTTGACTCACTTCACAGACGGTGCAAAGCTGTCCCTTGTATTGCGTATCGAAAGAGGCACCACAGAATGGGCACGTCACCTCTGGTTTACCGCGGTATAACGGCTTATAGCTTATACCACAAATGTTAAATGGATTGAACTCTTCATACTGCAATTGGTGCTCGTCTATGGGATTAACTTCACAGGCCTGCAAGATTTTGCGTACTTGTTGTGCGACTTCTGGTCGTGGACCCAACTCAAGTAGTCGTCGGGCGAAAGATGCAGCCGTCTTATAGTTCTTCAGTTTAAAGAACATATTCAAAGCTGTGCGTAACGTAAGGATCTGATGGACAGGCTGTAGTTTGCAATGCGTGAAATAGGCGGCCATTTCACAGAGGCGCTTTTGCTCCTCTAACGTAGACTTTGGCATACCCTTCCGTTCGGTTTCCATTTTCAAGCCAAGTATGTATTCGGAACAGATCTTCAACAATTGCTGTGTTTCTGCGATATCCTGCTTTGTCTCCACCACCAACAGTGGTATGTGTAACAAAATGGAATGGAATTTTTCGATAGCTTCTGTAAATTTACCAGCTGTGGTGAGCTGGTAGCCGGCTTGCAACCGTTGCACTAAATCGTTTAATTTTACACCCAATGCCGGGCGTTGATTTTTCGGATTGGTTTCGCCGGTGTTGCGAAGCGGGTATGCGGACAGTGACTGCAAATTGGGCATAGCTGTAAAACTTGTGCGTGCACAAGTGTAATTCTGCAAAAATAATGTTTTAAAAGGCTTGAAATTAATAACACCCAATTGATCGTTGAGTAGCCGGAATGCCGATTCAAAGGAGCCAGCTTTAACATGATCTACTACAAGAGGCGAATGATTAGCCCAGTGCTGGGGAGCAGAGAGCCCTTTGCTTGGTGCAGCATAAAAGCCATTATCCAAAGCAGAAGCTTTAATTTTCGAGGCAAGTTCTTCTGGCACTACCAAATCTTCATCACCTACATCCCAGCCAGCGCCCTCCTCACCAACACCTTCTGCACCAGGTTCGCTATCGAGAGCGTCATGCATTTCATCGTCACCGTCTTCTCCGAGACCCAAGTCTGCATCTGCACCCCAACCGTCACCTGCGCCGACATCATCCAACACAGCTGCATCGGCATTGGCGTTAAGCGCTTGCCGTGCAGTGGCACTAGTGCCTGCACGTGTAATCATGGCACCTTCAAAGAAGCCCTTCGACACGGTCAGTAGTGGCCAGTTACTTTCCACTTGCTGAATAGGTACAGGTGGCTGGAGCAACGTTGCATTTGGATTGACCACGGGCAACTCATTACCTTCCTGGGTGATCGTTGTCTCTAATTGACCTGCTTGTTCTTGAAAACCATGCGTCGCAGCGGTAAGATAGGCCAGCGAAAGTTGGCCGCAGTTTTTAAGAATGTTTACGCGTTCCTTGACATCACCCAACAGCAGGGCACCCTGGTACTGGGCTGAAACATCTTTGCGAATTTCTGCAATCTTATTCATCTTCTTAAGTTTTTCGAGATTGCCAGTTATTAAATATAGAAAACTGAGCTTGTCAAAGTTTTTGGTGCGTTGGTAGCACATCTCGACCACTTGATGATTACCCTATAATGCAAGGTACATACATACACATGTGTTATTATTTAATGCTGAATTAAAATTAAAAAATATCAGTTCCTATGCCTACCTGTAGCAATGCGGCTTGCCCTAGTCGATCCCAACAGTCCTTATCATCGAGTGCCTTAGCTGCTTCTAATGCAATTTCGATATTTCCACATTCTAAGGCCAAACCGAATCGCGTTTTCTCGTCCTTGACAAAATGTAGCGCCACTTCAGGATATCCTTTTTGTTGCAGATAGGCAATGATACTCTGGCCCACAAGGCGTGCATTACGCACCATATGCAATACTTCATCGTATTTACGATTGATTAGAGCCAGCTTAAATTTATATTCTGTCGAATCAATATGGAGTACACGTGTACGACATTCCCGATCCAGGCAAAATACTTGATTGCCTTTAACACGAGTCAAGTAAATGGGCAAGTCAAGTGTGCGGATAATACCGTGGTCACCGTTTGTGATAGCGTATTTAATGTGATTGCTGGTGGTGTAAATAAAGACACCCGAGTCATCCCAGGCACCTGACTTGACGCGACAGTTCTCCTGGATTGTGCACAAATATTGCAGGCGGCGATCGCAAATGGTAACTGAGTGCTTGCAGAGCAACGCTACCAGCGACATGTCGGCAGACCAAACAACATAACGACACTTGGCCAATTTGATGCAACCAACAGATACTAATCGCTGTACCTCATAAAGGGTGACATATTCTGGATCACGTATCAACAGCATTCCAGTGCCAGCGTAAAAGATTTCCTCACAGAAGGTTGGTATTTTTTTAGTAACCTCATTTTTGAAGTTCTTTATTGCCAACTGCTGATTACGGTCGAGTACAGCAAATCGATTACGGGCCACCCAGATTGCGGTTATACCGGATGAACGTTTTGATTCCGTCTCATTTTGCGATTCAGAATCTTTGGGAATTTGATATAAGTCATACGTGCTATTCTCTAAATTGTTAGTACGCGTGCAAATGAGTACCGCATTTAATGCCGGATTATAAGACATGCTGTGCACTGGCGATTTACCACCTCCACGTAATTGCATGACAACTGTGTCTTTAGTAGTTGTGAAGTCAAGTTTGCGTAGAAAACGATCCTTTACATAATAGAGCAAATTACCATGCACGGCATAAGCTGGACGTTCGCGCTCTAATTTGAATACAACCATACCTGAAAAGGAAAATCATTGAATTATAATCAATAACATAAATGTGTTAACTCAATTTCTTACCGCCATCGTGTCCAGCGGCAAACAAGTTCAAGGTTGGATGAGCAGCAAGTATCCAGAAACGTTCACCATCACGTCGAAATGTGTATAAGCACTGGCGCTTAGTCATATCCCAAACCCGTATGCTACGGTCTTCACCATTGGAAAGAATTAAATCTTGTCTAGGATGGAAAAGCACACAGGAAACGTTGTTGTAGTGACCGCGGCATGTGTCCACTTCCCAAGCTTTGTATTCATTCATACGCCATAGTTTTACAAGACGATCATCTGCTCCTGATACAATAAGTGGCAGAGTGGGATGGAAACTGGCCCAATTAACACCACGATCGTGACCTTCCAAAACATGTTTGACTACAGCATCGGCTTGGCCGAAAAGATCTGTAGCGCCCGGATGTCCCTTTAAATGGTCATCTAAACCACCGGGTCCAGGCGCAACATTCTTTTTACGCAGTCCAGAAATGTCCCAAACTCGCACTGTTTGATCCAACGAAGCAGACACTATTTGATCTTCTGTTGGATGGAACTGTGCGCTCATCACATAATGATTATGCCCAGTGAGCACACAAATACAATTACGGGACTGCCAGTTCCAAATTCGAATAGTTTGATCGTCTGAGGAGCTGAGAATCCATGGGTACTCATGATGGAAAGCCACCGTGCGCACGTAATCCAAATGAGCCAAGAGAGTAAATATACAACGGCGTTGTTTATAATTCCAGACCTTAATCTTATAATCATCGCCTCCGGACACAAACAGTGGCATTTGTTGATGGAATGCGACACTTCGCACAGGGCCATCGTGCTCATCGAATTTTTCAAGCAAGGTGTGCATGCGGTAGTCCCATAGTTGGATGACGCCAGTGTGTAAACTGGCAAGAATCCATGGTCGTTTGGGGTGAAAAGACAAGCCTTTAACACGTGCTGACTTTGATTCAAAGTTGGTCAACATCTTTGGAGTATTTTCATGCGCCAGATTTCGATTTTACGAACAAATGTGGTGGTCGCTCCGATGTACTATTACCTTCGTCCCGTTGATTGATGAGTTGTCGGCAGTTAAGTTTTTTCTTCCTTTCTACACTATGTGAGCTGTAATTTTAAATGTTTATATTTTAGACACTATATTTCCTGTTTTTATAATAATTTGTGGAATAGCTTAATATGTATAGCAAATTAACACAATTTTTATAAAATTGGACCGATAGAAAAATATACCTCCCTAGCTGAAAAAATGACACGTCAAGTTAGTGATGGCACGATTAATCGAATAACCGATTATAATCGGTTATTTTCATTCGGTTAACGACTTAATTGTATCGAAATTTTCCTTTCGATTAATCGAGCGATTACCCGATTAATTTTTCAAAATAATCGAAAAGAAACCATCAAAAATTTACTAATTTACGCACACAATAATGTAGGAATCAAAGTAAGTTGAGTTGTTTTATACACTCTCTTATTCTGCAAATTTTTTAAACAATATTTTTTGCCAAAGGCCGCAACACAAGCTTAACCTAAGTAGCTACTAAAAAATCACAACCCAGGTACGCACATATTTTCATTTTATTTTCCGAATTCGGTGTTGCGCATTTTCCTCTTTTTTATACCATTACCAAACAGACGAATACCAAAAATGAGCGGTAAATGCCAGGTACTTAACTCTTGGAATTTTTCATATAAAAATTGAATGGCCTACAAAACTGCATACTGATAATCTTTCTAAGAAATCTAATTAAAAAACTGTATTTTTTTTATTTATTTTTTTAATATTGCACAAAGTTTGATATACTTATATTTCTAAGTTTTTTTTTGCCAAAGAATAAGCTATATTTAAAAAATAACTAAAATTAAATAACCCAAAAAAATCTTGTTGTGCGCTATAATTTTGACACGGGGTGTAAGTCAGTTTTTATAACTTATAAATTGTTTTTATTAATTTTCGATTTTAATCGAAATGACCGATTAATGGGTTAATTTCTTACGATTAGTTGCAATTATTAATCGAGTGCCTTCGATTAATCAATTAACCGATTAATCGACTATTAATTTTTTTTTGCCATGACTGCGTCAAGTTAATCTAGAACTTGCCATACCTTCGAAATATACAGTTCGTTGTAAGCAAGTTCCACTGTACTGAATTGAATCTCAAAATAGTTCTTCAGTTTTGTTGTCTGGGCCGCAATTTAAACCAATAAACAAAATATTTTCATCAAAATATTAAAGAAAAATGATAGCAATTTAGGAGTAGCACTTCTGCGCCATGACACTAGCACATCGCGCACTTTTCACCTGGTTCATTGTGCTTGTCTTCCTAATCTTACTGTGCTTACGTTTGGATCCACGAACGCACTGGAGCTGGTTTGTTACTTTCATACCGCTATGGGTGTTTGACGGCATATTAATTATTTACGTTGTTATTAAAATTATACGGAAATGGCGAAATTTGAAACGTCTCAAAGAGTTGTTAATCTACTACCAGTGGTACATATGCGGTGTGCTGCTTAAGATTGCTTCCCAGCTGATGATCTGTTTGCGGTTGGAGTATCCACAATGGGAGATATCAATTTTTGTAACAATGGTACCCATTTGGATATTGCTTTCAGCGTTCATTGTGTACGTATTTGGGCGATTGAACAAGATTGAGTCTTGGTGATACATGTGCACTATGTAAATTCATTTCTTATACGTATGTATGTGTGTATTTCATTACTTTATTTTTTTTTAGATAAAACATGCTATACAATAAAATTAATACAATTAATTTCTAGAAACCATATTTGCTTTGCGTAGCTCGTCGAGTTTGACGGTTGGCAGACCACATTGCCTGTAATTCAGCTTCGTTGGCCTTCGCTTTATGTGCCAGATAAGTTATTTGATGTTTTCGTCTAGTGCCTGCCGCTGGCTCTTCATCAACTAGCATCCCAGTGGGTTGATAGGCAGTAGAAGATGCTAAAGCTGTTCGCATCCATTCCTCTCTACTTGGTAGTACTTCAGCACTTGAAATATCCACGACCTGTATGTTCTCTTCTTTTCTTCTTCGCTTTGCAGTACTTCCAGCTAATGCTTGTATGGCAGTTTGGTCCAATATGGCTTTATTATGATTATGTTCAGCCGAAAGTTGCTCGTAATCTATTTCCATAGTTTCTACTTGGGCTTTTTCTTGCTCAGCAGCTTTATTCAAGAACTCTGTGGCTGCATTGACCATTTTAGCTGCACGTTGCGCTACTATTGCGTTGATTTCATTCATGCTAACCTCAGGCAGTTTATCTTCAGATTTAAGTGAAAAGAAGTCGCCACCTTCATCACTATTCTCGTCGCTGTCGCTACATTCAACTAATGTTATTTTTGGCTTGGCTGCCGATTTTTTCGTAATTCTCTTCATACCATCCACACACTCGGTATTATGTGCGGGGCGTCGATTTTTTACAGTATCCGGAATAAAAGGATTAACTGCTGTGGGTTTTGGCATTTCATTCGCTTTATTATTTGTGCCACTATCTGGTTTGTTCGCAGTTGTAGCTTTGCTGAAATTTTGTTCTGATTTTGCCTGCGGTAACATATTCAGCAGACTACATTTCTTTTGCCCTTTTGGTAAAGACTTGATTTTACTTTTGCCTGTCATATCTTGATCAACATCATTAAATTCTTTTAATGATGGTATAGTAATTCTAACAGGACCTTTATTAGGCGCTATTAGTACAGGCTTAGGTTTCACTTCTTCAACAGGTTGTGACGCTTTTTTATGTAAAAACTCATCGTCTTCTTCTATAATTACGCTGCTGTCTACTTTGTTTTTGGGTAGAGGAAGCTTGGAAAATTTAGGAGCCAATTCTTCTAGTTCTTCATCTTCGATTTTTGAATTATTTATGTTTTTAGGTTTAGGCAACGACAGGCCATGCGATATTTTAGCTGGATTAGGCAACGCAGTAAATTCTGTTGGTGCATAGTCATCCTCATCGTCACTAATCGTGCCATTGGCTATTTTTTCATTGGTTCCATTGGATCCGGGGGCAGTTCCTTCTCTGGCTTTTGCATTGGAAGTGAGAGTATCGTCTTCGCTGTATTCCGAGTCCTCATCACTGCTGGCCGCATAGGCAACTAAAGACATGTTTTTAGGTGGTTTAAAATCCGATAAATAATTTGTAAAGGGCAGAAATAAAACTTGTTTTTTTCCAGTGAAAATAAATTGTTTACACCAGGCAAAAGTGACAGCTGATTTTAGTTTATTTCGCCAGCGTCGCATTTGCGAAATGCGTTTATAAAAAATGGTATACAAATCAACACCCACACCATTAAACTTGGCATGCAACTGGTTGAATCAACTGCTTAAAATTTGCAGAGATTATTCAACCGGTTAAATGAGCCAGTACCGTCTGGTCAGGTGGAGTCATCCCACCCTTCTTCAACGTAAACTCCAAGCGAAACGTTGGGCGTTGTCGTAACTCCTTTACTTACAACGCCACCTAATCCTGACATTAGTCCGTCCATGTCTCTTTTATTTGTTGCTTTTTTTCTTTCAATACGATAGCGACCTCCCCTAGTATTTCACTACAACATCAGGCACGACTAATATTTTGGTTTGTGTAGCTAATACCATGGCAGGCGGAAATAACCCCCCAACCGACGAGCTAGCTTGGGATGCAAGGTGCCTGCATGCCGCCTCCTCAGGTACAAATATGCAGCTACATATGGACAATGGATAACACCAAACGTAGAGAGATTATAAAGCTGCACAAACTGATAAAAACCAGTGAGCCTCTAACTTCCACCAGCGGTAAATTTCCGACGGAAATTGGGAAGGTAAAAGTCTCCAAATTAATGGCTTCTAACGGAATATGTTCCTATTTAGCGCACCACAGACGTGGGCACCCGAAAAGATATCTGCTTGTGGCAGAGCCTCCGCTAAGTAACGTCAGAAAGCATCTAATACGAATTGACGGACGAGGTCCAGAGGTTCATAAAAAAACACTGTATCCGACAGCGTACAGACAGGCCATAAGCGGAATTCTCAAGGAGTCGATCTAAACTTACACCAACTCTTCACCTGTGAATGCCGTTTTAGGAAAACAACCGCCCGACGTGGACGATACAGAAGTTCATCTGCATCGTGAGATTCGCACCACCCTTGCTCAACTCTGCTCTGGATACTGCAGCAGGTTAAACTCCTACCTGAGTAGAATAAACTCAGATAAGCGCAACGTATGTTCGGCTTGCGGAAAGTTATCCCATGGCTCGACACACCTCTTCGCATGCCCACTAAACTAACACTCCTCTCCTGCTGGTCCAACAGACTAGTCGGTGTAGCACACTTTTTGGGACTAAGTGCTAAGTAAGCAGCTACTAAAACAACGGAATAAGCATTTGATGCTAAAAAATGGGTCTGGCGGGAACAGACTACTTACCAAGCTCCTCAACTTGTCGATGGCCTCTGTATTTATACCTGCTTTGCGGAAAACAGGGAGAGTAAATCCACTACAAAAGCCCTGAGAACTAGCCAATAAAGGAAGTCTTATCGCCCGATAATACCTCTCTTCTGAGCAGTAAAAATACTAGAAGCCTTGCTACTCCCGCGCTATATCTGCCACCTGTTCCCAGCAAAGCATCAACATGGTTTCCACATCAAGATAACTCGTGGCCTTAACAGCAATCGCTTCCGTGAATGAACCGTCTTAGTAGCAATGTTCCGTGTAAGGGCTTTCGACACCATGTTCCACTCTACGCTGCTAGAACCCGAACGTGTCTCTCTCTCTTTCTCTTCTCTAACACAGGGACTCAACCGGAAAACGGCGAATAGCCACTAGCATTCGGGACCAAACATGAAACCCGAGAAAAATTAAATAGGGGACTCCACAGTTTGGTGTCCTTTCCCCACGCCAGCTCTATTTCTATACTTAGAAGCTCTCTAACCACCTGAGGAAGTAGCGCTGAACTCATGTGCTGATTGTTCGCTATTGCCGCACTTGCAGACTACAATCTTTATCATCTGAACGAAAGAGGTCAGGATGCAGCCAGGATTTCTCTGGTACACCGATTCCGACCATCGACCATAAACCACTCGAAAGTCCTAGAGGTTACTTCTGATAACCCTTGCACCCTTCCTTCACGCGCACAGCCGCAATCGCCAACAAAATACAGAGTCACAGCAAAGTCCCCAATCCGCTCGCCGGAAGCACAGAGCTTTGGATAGCTACTGATGTCTTGTGATGTCGCCAGAACATCTTATAGGCAGCGAGGCGCAGGTGTTCAAAGAAAGGAAGCAAATAGTTCTGGATCGGCTGCTATCAACGTGAACTCTTAAACATTCACTTGCTAGAAACAAAATGGCCTCTCCTAGCTAGGCACGTCAGAATATATCTCTACGAACTGAGGGACGAAATGCAGCGCTGCATACAACAACCATTAGACCCAACGTTGTACTGATAGGCGTTCAACGCACTTTATTTTCCCCAGCTAAATCAGACTTTTAAACGCTTCCGAAAGCATACCAAGTTTTGCTGAATATAATTTAATTTTTTTTGGTTACTCACTTTTCTTACCTGCTGTGCAAGTACAGTAACCCAAAAAAAAACTGTATTGTATGCTTATATACTTAGTACGTATGTATGTGTGTATTCCAATCGATTCGCAGGATGCTGCGCTTCGAAAACGAAGACAGCTTCGGAAATACACAACCACCACTAACCGCACCGCGGGAATCAACATAGCCATCATTATTGCTAGTAGCATTATCATCCACCGCCCTTCGACAGTGCCAAAAAACCACTTGGTTTTGCTACGAGTACCAGCAATTTGCCACCTTTGGCGAGCTACCGACAGACCGACCGTTTCAGTCATTTTCGAACATGAGCGCCGTTGGTTTCATCTAAAATAAACGCACCGGTCCGGTTGTTGTCTGAATGAAAAAAAAGTACATATATAAATGAAATATGTGTACTTAAAATACAAAATGAAAACAAAGTAAAAAGAGAATATGCATTTTTTTTTGAATAAAAATTTTCAACGATCAACACTATAAATAGACCAAACGGCTGTATATTTATTACGTGTACTATAAGGGATTTGCAGTGCGGCGTTTGTGAAGAGACAGCAACAACATCCATACAAACATACAAGCATTTGGTGCTCGCAACAAATTAAAATTTTAAAAAATTTTGAAAATTGTGAAACTAGTATTTTAGGGTGATTAGTGTAAAGGCTTTAATATCGGAAGTATTATACCTTGAAAAGAAAACACTGTATTATACTTATGTAAAGTTTTTTAACATAATATTTGCACACAAAAAAACAAAAAAACACTTCTCAAAATGCCCGCATCGAATACGTTAGTTTTGAAAAGTCTTTCAATACTGCTTGGATTATTTTTCATTTTTGTTGGATTACTAAAATTGACGCCAGCCATTAGCAAGGATCTTTTTAAGGATTTGGTAAGCAATAGCTTAAGTTTAAAAGTGGCTAAAAATTCAACATTTTGTGTGTATATACAAGGATGCATACATGCATATATGTATATGCAAAGTGGTTGGAGACACCCGCTTTTCCTCCAAGTGTGAAAAATCAATAACTCTGGAGATATGTATGCCAACATAATTATGCATGTATCTATCCGCATATTTATTATGTACATACATATGTGTATATATGTACACATTTTGGTATACATGATATACATATGTACATATCAGCCGTTTATTTTGAAAGTGGCATAAGTCACTTTACACCACTTGTGCTTAAATGGCCAATTATTTGTATATGAACGCATCGTCCCAAGTGGAAAAGGTTTTGTTGTAAGTAGGGATGGCCAAAAAAAATAAAATAATCGATTAATCATATGATTAATCACAAGCCAAAAAACAATTAATTGCAATTGAGAAATAATCGATTAATGGAATTTTTAAAGGCACTTTTTTACAGTGGGTATTCACAAAAACACTTTTCCATAAAAAATTTAAAATTATCTTGTTAATTAGCCTTAAATAAAGTAAAACGTGTATTTTTAGCGGCGATGGTTGTTTATAATTTAACCTAGTTTGCAAAATGAAGTTGATGCAGCTAGCAAAAAAAATGCTCGATGGATGGATTTTAGACAACTACAAAATTCCTATTTCTTGAACACATTTTTACGATTATTTTACAATTAATCTATTAATAATCGGTTAATAAAAAACAAAACTACGATACAATTAAGTCGTAAATTGGACAAAAATAATCGATTAATTTGATCAAATGAGTAATCGCTGCCATCTCTGGGCATAAGGCATTTTTCTAAAATTAAATAGTATAATAAACTTCAAGTTGCCGTTGACTTTTGGCAATTTTTTGTTCATGCATTTTCTTTCTTACAAAAGATGTTGGAAAACTTTTTTTGTATCGGGAATATGAGTAACACCTTAAAAAAAAAAAAAAACTGCCAAATATCAACAGTAACTCCTATTTATTTCAAGCTTCCACTTTATTATTATATTTATTATATAATAAACTTTAATGGGCTACCAAAGTACATACTATCGTAGAGGCGGCTTCACTTTGTGCTATCAAAACCGTCGATATGATCCTATACATTGGGTTGGGTTCTTTTTCATCAAAGACACTTGATTCTCTTAAAAAAAAATACAAAACAATTATTTCAGTTATGATATAATCTGTTAAAATTTAATTGATATAACTGAAAAGTAGAGTTTTATATATTAGAATTAAAAGTCAAATATCAAAAGTGCTTAGAATAAAAATTGTAAAAAAGCAAGTAATTTTTAAGCAAAACACAAAATCTACTTCAATTCTCATATAAAAATTTAAGATTATCGTTAATTTCTTCATGATCCTATGATCGGATTTAAACCAAATTAGTGAGGTAACACCTTTCCTTAAAAAAAAGGATTCTAGAAATCGGTTAACGTGGTCCAGGGTTATGCGGTAACATACATAAAAAAAAAAAATATTCCGGAGAATTGATAAGCATGTGTTAAGTAATAAAAAATTTGTTTAAAGAAATTTTTCAAAAATAAAGCTGTCAAAATTAAAATTTCTCTATTGATTGAGTGGGTAAAATTTGGAATAATCAACTAAGAATTAACGTATAATGAAGAGTACCTAATTCTTAATTATTTTACTAGAATTAACTACATATTACATTTGAGATTATTCGCAATAAAAACGTTTGGTCAAACTCGCCTACATATCGAATTCCCCAAAA